CCAGGATGGTCTCGATCTCCTGACCTCGTGATCCGCCCGTCTCGGCCTCCCAAAGTGCTGGGATTACAGGCTTGAGCCACCGCGCCCAGCCTGCTCCTTGTTCTAATCCCAAACATGTATTCACTCATTTCATGCCCCCAACATGAGACACACAAGAACCTGGGGGGAAGAAAGAGCCATGAACTCGGGCTTCATGTCCCACTGTTGACAATTTCTTGTGTGTCGTGGTTAAGCGGAACTTTTAAGATCTTTTTCACATGGCCACTTTCTTTAGCGCATGGCCAGATATAAAACAAAGCCTGGGGTGCGGTGCCTCACACCTGTGATCCCAGTGCCTTGGGAGTCAGAGGCAGGATGACTGCATGAGCCCAGGAGTTCGAGACCAGCCTGGGCAACACAGTGAGGTCTTGTCTCTCATTTAAAGAAAAAGAAAAGGAAGGAAACAAAGTCAGGAAACCTTCAATCAACGCTAGCTGGGTGAGAGGCTGCTCTTGTGAGGTCTGATGCATTTCTCATCGTGCCCCCCCTGGGTCTTGAGTTCAGCTTCATAAGGTGACTGGGCCATGAGCCTGCACCAGGGCCGTGGCATGCCTTTCCAGCTCTCCTCTGCCATATCCTTGGCTCAGGTGGGTTCTCCTGGGGCCCTGATGAGCTTGTACTTCTGTGTGCGGGAGAAAAAGCCATGAACGGGGAAGACCTGCCCAGCATTTTCCAAATTAAAGTCCCTGCAGCAGGAGGCAGAGAAGGCCTTCTCAGGGGGCACTTGGAGTAACTAAAACAAAAATTAATGGTTTTGTTTTTATTTTAATATAATGGGTGCATCAGAAACGAATTTTCATATATATTACTTAAGAGGAAATTTCAGTAAGCACCGAGCTTTAAAAATGGGTAGATTTAAAGGAAAACATTCCCTAATAATCATAATTCAGGTGGTATTCAGATCTGATAAAAATTGTGAATGACTGGAACGTGGGAAGCATTGATTTAGCCTTTTCAGATGTGTTGAGTGAGTCCTCCACACTTACTGGTGTGGGCACAAGCTTATAACCTGTTATTCTTATAACAAAAAACAACATTTAAATAGAGAAATGCTCTCCAGTCCCTGCCTAACAGGCCCACTGCTTTTATATTTCTTATTTCCAGATCCTGATGTGGTCTCTGTTCATATTTTCAGCTGATTTTTTAACAAATAATGTTTTAGGGGACAGGGTTGATGCTGAGAAACATGACTGTCCCCCGAGGGCACCCATGGAAGACAGAGGTCCCTGCCGCGGCCCTGCTCCGGACCCCTGCTCCGGGCCCTCCCTCCACCCCTGCTTCTGCCGGAGCCTCTCTGCTGCGTGTCTGCCTGCCTTCATTTTAGGAGCTACTGTGGGTCCTGCCTTTTGGCAAATGGTGCCTTCTGGGGACATTTTCTTAAGGTCACTTGCTGCGAATGGGGGAAGCTTTGGAGGACATTGGAGAGAAAAAGGCTGTCTGGATCTCTGCCCATTCTTGAACGTTAAGGTTAGAAAACACAGTCTGTTCCTTCAATACTCAGGATTCTCTCTTTCAACTCCCCTGACCAGTGAGCACACAGGTGGGGCAACTGAAAAGAGGAAGAGACACTTGCTGGAATGTCCTAGCACCTTCTGTCACCTACCTGGAGACCTTGACGGCTCAGCTCGAGTGTAACCGTTACAGGGATGAGCTGCGGTCCGGGTGAGGTCCTCTGTCTCATGCCCTCATTGCTCCCCAACATTTCTTCCCAGAACTTGCACCACTGATGATGGCCTGTCACTGCCGTCTCCCTTACTTGGTCTTCAGCTCAGTGAGGACGAGGACTGAGTCTGTCTTGGCCACTGATGAGTTCTCAGTGCCTGGCACACCATAGATACTGCACATTGGACGCATCTCCACCAGGCTTTGCTGTACCTTCACATGAATACTGAGCAAGGGCCATTCACGACTCCTAGAGAAGTCATTTCTCCAACATTGAACCCACAGTCAATACTGAATACACTCAAGCACGTTGCTAGGAGGTGGATCTCATGTGACGTTTCTGACCATAATAAAGTTAAATGAAAGGAAACTGATTGCATAAAATTCAAAAAAGGTCATTTTCCATCTCCAGCATCAAGGTGCAAATTATTAGGTAATTCTTCCTTGCTGACTCTCATTTCTACCTCTGATTTATTGCTATGTCAGTTAAGAGAATGTTATTTGATATAACAAGTAAAAGCACGGACAACAGCAGAAAAAGAAGCCCATTCCATTGTTGGACTCCTCTGACTTTTAGTGTGTTATTTCTGATATTGGGCTAAATTCTGTCTTGAGTAACTTCTGCCCATTGCTTCTAGTTCCAGCTCTACTGTGAATGGCTTTGGCAGCTCCTGGGAAAGGCGGCCTCCCTGATTAGCCCCTCAGCTTCGCCTTCCTCCTTCTGTGAATCTTTCCTTCGCTTTTTCCTCACATGTATTAAGAACTTCCTCTGCTTATAAACCCCAGGGAGGCCA